ATATTTGGAATCAACTCTAGAATATATATTTACAGAGTGTTCTCTGTGTCTCAAATATCAGTTTCTTTCTCCTCCAGAACCTGGAAATACAGTTGAGAGAAGACATTTAAAGAGTCATAATAATGTAAAATATAAAATTTCTTTGTACATCTTTTGTCTCTTACATCAAAATATTTTCTGATTGTCGAGCCATAGTGGAAGCCCTCTTACCAAGTTAAATGTAATCTTACTGGATAAAATTTCTTTCTTACTCTAAATTTCTTTGAAATTCTTAATGAGGAATGCATCCTGGTACTCCTATTTCTTTTATTTAAAAAATCTTCTAAGTTATTTATTGTTTGCTTCTTTCTTACACTTATTGGGAAAAAATAAAGTGTGTCACTACTTGTTTATTATTTTTTTACTTTCCATTAGTATCTGATCATAAGCCAGTTAAAGTATTTTTTGCTATTATACAATTTAGTGTTTTAAATTAAAAGTTCCTTAGCTTCAGGAAAAGCTGATTATGATTAAAATTTTTACTTTTTAATACAAACTATGTTTTTAACTTCAATTTTGAGACACTTCAGTAGTATTTATTGATTTTTTAAGTTATTGTTACATGTCACAAGGATGTAAGACTCGATACTATGTAACTCCTAGAAGAAAACATAGGCAAAACACTGATATAAAGCACAGCAATATTTTTTTGGATTTGCCTTCTAAAGTAAAAAAAAAAAAGCAAAAGTAAACAAATGAGACCTGATTAAACTTAAAAACTTTTGCACCTGGCTTGTTTCCCTGTCTTTGATTTTCTTCAGTTTGAATGTGATGTAGCCAGATAGATCTTTCAGTATTCATCTTGTTTACTGTTCTCTGAGCTTACTGGATCTGTGCTTCAATGTCTGTATTTAATTTTGGAAGGTCTCAGTCATTATTTCAAATATCTCTTTTGTTTCTTTATCTTTCTTCTTTTGGCATTATCATTGTATGTATGTTTCACCTTTTGTAATTGCTTCAGCACCACTTCTACCCTCATCATAAATACTCAGGTTTTATAGCTCTTATTTCTGCCCTGGTTTGGCTGGTTTTGTCTGGAATAGTGATAGCTATGCAGTAAGAATTTAGGGTCTCAATACATATCTAATATCTGTATCAACAACCAAGTTCATAAATGCCTCAAGTATCTAATGCAGCATTAATAACATTTAGACTTTTAATAGAATTTAGAGTTAGTTTTACTTTCTTAAAATGTAGGTGAAACAATGTATGTTCAGCTAGCCATATTCATTTTTCTTCTGGAAGTACTGGAAGACTGTATTTAACAACCTCCTTCTAGTCAGATGGAGCCATGTGCCTATATTCTGGCCAACAGGTATGATTCAGGCCAACTGCATGTGTCACATCCAGCCTTAGGAAACCCTGTGCTACCATCCATGTACTCTCTCTCTTTTGTTCTCACTACTTCCTCCATTCTTGTCAGAATCAAAGGTCCCTAGGATGGCACAGCTACGCTTGTTAAAATGGGGATGCCCAGGAGAGCACTAACCCACGTTGGACTATGATGTGAGTGAAAAATACACATATATTGTACTAAGTCACTAAGACCTTGTGATTATTTTTTAGTGTAACCAGTGAACATTTCTTTGGTGAAAACGGAACTTTCAACTCTTTAAGTTCAGAAAGCTGAAAACTTTGGGCTGTGTTTTATCCCCAAAGCAACATTCCACCAATTTAAAAACACACAGAACTGAGAGGTGTCTGTGGCCATTATAATCCACACTTACTAGCAGTCTGTCCCCAACCTTGGTAAAGTGAATATTTGTGGTACCAGGGAAAACTGAGGTTCAAGTGACTCTCAATTTCTTAGCAAGTCAGAGAGTACATTAGCCATGAGAGCTAAGTTTCTTCTCTGCCTTATCTTTTGTTTCTGCTGAATGTGTCTTCACTCTTTATCCTTAAAATTCATCTTCTGCTTCGAGAAAGGCAAGATTAGCGAGCAGGGTCCAATTCCATTGTTTCATATGTGAACAGATCTTACTCCTCAATCACACAACTGAAAACCCGTCATGTAGTACTGTTGCTAAACACACCTGTTTCATGGAGAATGGCGTTGAGGGGCCAGGATATTTTTTAATGGGTATTTTTTTTTTTAGGATACAACAGTAGTTTAAATAGTTTCCACAAAACAGTTTAGTTTTAATACTTCCTTTTGTCATATTTAAAAATTCTAAAGCTTATTTTCAGATACACTTCTGAAATGACTGCAAATCTTAAGAGTTGCATCACTCAGTATTAGTGAGATGAGTGACTGTGCAGCTGTAATAAGTATGGTAATGATACATTCCATTAGCATTGTTTGAACCACTGCAGTAACATTTGTCAGCATTTTTTAACTCCTAAACTCCAAAGTTAATAATTCTTCCAAGGTTTTTTTCTTTTTTGTCTTTGCCTGACTTGCAAAGCATGTCGTTCCTTTAATTCCTCTATGAGATGACTTTTCCTTATTGTTATTGTAAAGAAAACAATTTTTTTTAAACCAAAGTGTACTTAATCTGAAGACAGCTAGGAGTCATTACTGACTGTTAAGGTTTAAACGTTATCATCCTTTACTTTAAAAGTGATGCTTAATTTCTTTTCAGATCTTAACTGAATCTAAAAACATTCCAGCTAAACTACAGTTTATTGGATAATTCTGAAAATTATACCATCTAGCCTAGGATCTGTGACATTTCAATAATATTTCCCTATTCTTCTTCTCATGTTTATATTAGACTACATACTTTGTATACAGGTTAACTATTGCTCTGTCATTGAATATTTCTTTAGAAATAAGTGAACAGTTTTGGAGAATCTAAAAACTAACCCAAATACTGCAGTGTGAAGTTTGGTTTTTTAGCCTTTAGAAAGAAAATATGACTTTTGTTTCATTCAAATTAAATCCTTATCACAACAATTTTTAAAATTTGATCATGTTTGTAATGAAAATAAATTGTTGGACTCATTGCTTTAAAGAACTTTTGTTCACATATGGTGCTCACATGAATCAAACAGTAAAAGCATATCACTTTAATACTCTTGAAACTTTTTTATTTAGAGATAAGAATATGTGTTGAAAAAGATGTAGACTAGACGGAAAAGTCAATGGGAATTATTTAATACAACATTTTGGGGAGACCTAGAGATTATTTTAAATCTGCAAATCATAAACCTCACATAAGAATAAGCTATCATCTGTTTTACTTGCTTCAATGATTTTGCTTTCAAAAGTCTCTGGCCACAGAGCGTATTTTGTGTGTGAAAGAATCACAACTGCCGATTCTCCTTCATTGTGAGGCGTAGCTTGCTGAGTTTCTTTTAATCTTTCCTACTGTACGACTTTAAACTTTATTGCTTTCAACTACCCTTTGAAAAAAGTTAGCTTTAGATCCTTCAAGCTTTCTTCTTTCTTTCTTTCTTTCTTTTTTTTTTTCCTGTTCAGTTGAATGTTTTAATGTGAGCTGCATTGTCATTTGTTGAGTCTGCCCTTGTAGAAATCCTATTAGCTTTCTGAATGAGGATATTCACGTAGGAGAGAAGTAAGCACCATAAACTCAGTGAAATCCGTTTGGCTCCTCTCCTGGGCTAAGGCTGCTCCTCTCTTTGTTTTCGACCATAGCACTCGTCCCTGCTAGTGAATTGATTGTCATCCTTTGTTTTCGTCAGAAAACCTTTCCCAGAAACACTATGTTGATAGTAGGGACCTCATTTCTTAAATTCTTGTCTCAGTTTCTAACAGCTTTCTGGACCTGGATGGCTACAATAACAAATGCAAGTGTGTTCAAGACTGATCTTTATTTTCTCCCCTTATCTGTGCACACCACATCTGCTATTGCATTGCATTTCAGAACCTTACTGTTCATTCCATCTCATTTTGGATTCCTTCATATCCTTCACTATTTATGTTCAATCTCATAAAAATCTTTGCAATTTTGTTCCTTCTATTCACCTCTCACAGGACTGCCTTTGCGTAGAGCCTTATCACTTGTCACTTGAACCGTAAAGCTATCTGCCTTACGTCTTATCTCTGCCATGCTCCTTCCAATTTACTTTTCACAATGCCGCAAGAGTGGGAATTATAGCACATCAAGTTTTTATCATATTGTTTCATTGCTTCTTCTTGTTTAGTGTCCTTGTCGTTTTCACTCCCCAAAACACACTTTCATTATACCAAATCTGTAATCCTTGTAGCAGTATTTCCTCCTCTTACACCTTTGTGTGTGCTCTTTCCACTACTTGGAATGACTTCCCCCTTGTCCACCTGTCACCAAGTACTACTTCTTCAAGACAGCTCAAGTTACCTTCCAGGTAGTTAACCTTCCCTACCTCTGTGTTCTGGGTTATGTATACAAAACAGGTATCAGTAAGGTTCACAAAGAGAAAAGATAATACCCCCAACAATCGTTTTTGGCCCTAAACTTTTTTTTTTTTTTTGGCTTTGGGCTTACAGGAGAATGCTACTAAAATTAGAGTAATTAGCATGAAATGATAATATGCAGCCTGATAGATATCAAGGGGGCATGTGTGTAGTAGAAGCCACTCATTTATAAATAAACCGAGAGTGTGTAGGTTTAATAGGTCTTTACAGGTTTACTCGCCTTTTTGTTTGCTGTTTCCTGAAAAACTGGTAGTGATTTCTTTTTTGTTAAGAGAAGATTATGTAACTTTCTCAAATATATCAAATAACTGGGTATGGGAAACAAAAGAGAAGAAACTTTAAATTTCTTCACTGAAAATAATGAGTAAAACATTGATTTAATATAGTTTTATAGTAATATACTGAAATGTGTCCATCTATAGAACACATCAGTCAATATTTCTCATCATGATTTCCCTCTTAAAATTTAGAAACAGGAAGTATTGAGAATGGTGAATGGTGGTTACTCCTTACTGTTCCTTTGTTGCTTCTTGAATTGGAGTCAGTGATTTATCCATCTTTTTCAGAATTTTATGAGGTGGGTGCCAATTAAAAATAAAAGTACCTGAGTCCCGTCTTATTCTTATTAAATGAGTCTCTGGGAGTTGGGCTACTTTGATTTTGTACATTTACGAGCTCTGATTCCAGTGCATTCTGAAACTCAAAAGCCAGGCATCTAGTCCATTTGTTTAGTGATTCTGTCTCTTGGTCTTTGCTTGAAGACTTCCACTGGTATGGAACTCCAAATTTCTGAAGACAGTCCATTTAGATTTTTGTCAATGATAGTGTACATTGTATGTAATAAAATGCCCGTTGCTTTAGTGTTCCATTGGTTCCATTTTGACAGTCAGATACACCCACATAACCATCACCTACAAAAGATAAAGAACATCTCCATCATCCCAGAATGGTCATTCATACCACCTTCTATGCCATCCCTTTCCCTCAGAATCAGCCTGTTTATATCTTCTGTTACCTCATGTCAGTTTTCTGGTTCTAGAATGCCAAGTAAATAAACCTTAAAAGTATTCTCTTATATTCAGGTCCTGTTGCTCAGCTTAGTATCTGTAAGATTCAGCCATGCTGTTGAGTGTATCCAAAATTCATTTACTTTTGTTTCTTGGAAATACTCCCTTGCACAAATATACCAAAATTTCTTCATCTGTTCACTTGTTGATGGGCATTTGAGCTTTCCCCCTTTTTCTGATTATTGTGAATAATCCTGCTAATCTAGTCTTGTAAAAGTCTTTTCGTAGACGTAGGTTTTCATTTATTTTGGGTAATTAGTTAGGAGTGGAATTGCCAGGTCACATATGTTTAACTCTATAAGAACCTGCAAACATTTTTCCAAAATGGTTGTACCATTTTACACTCTCACCAAAAATGTACAATGGTTCTAGCTGCTGCCCCCCAACACTTGGTGTTATTGGGATTTTTATATTAGGAAACCACTGAGGTTTAAATTTGAGTTTCCATGATCCTAAAACTTAGTACCTTTTCATATGCTTATTGTTTTTTTATATATCCCTGGTATGTGTGTATGTAACGTCTGTTCACATCTTTTGCCAATTTTTAAGTGGGCTTTTGGTCTTTTCATTTTTGATTTGCAAGTTTATTTACATTTTGCTGAAATCTCAGTACTCAGTTGTGAGAGACTTGGATGTATTACGTAAGTAATACCTGGCATTTTTTATTTTATAAAATTGTTATGATTTTGCTGTATTTATTCTTGTGTGATGAAAACGTACACATTATACTCAATTCATGCATAAAGAAATTAAAGCAAAACATCCTATAAATATTTTTCAAGGCACAAGGGGACAAATAATGTGATTAACTAAAAATTGGATGCGTTAAAATCTGTTTGAATCTTACTCATGATTTACTGCCTCAAAACATGTTATATGTCCCCATCCCTACTTATTGAAAAACAATTTTAAAATCCTATTCAGCAAGCATTTGTACTATATTGGCTAAATTTGATCAGTTTGGTTTGTCTCTTTACAAAATAGCCTTGAGAGATTAAAACCAGGTTATCTTTGTTTTGTAAAGAGAGGAGTTCTGGAAAGGCTTGATTGTTCGTTCTTGTAGAATCCTGAGTGACAGTGTCTATGCATTGACCTTTCGGTGCTGACATCTTAGAGCCCTGGACCCTTTTTTGCCACTTTCCTAAGGTGTCGGGTAGGGGAGTCATTGCTCCTGTCTGATGTGATACTTGGCAGTCATTCTCTGCTGCCTGAAAGAAACAGCTTAGAGCATGAAAATCTAGTTGGCTGACTGGGGGCATCAATCCTAGATCATCATTCTCTTTGCTTTCTGGGTCTGGAATTCCCATGGCAAATCTTCCAGGTATACAGTCAATTAATAACATGAGCTTGCCAAACTGCAGTAAAAGGTACTTAACCCTGGCCTCTAACATTTAATTTACTGCTCTTATTGATCTTCAACAAACACTTTTCCATATGCATTTACTGAAGATCTATTTTGTGCACAGTACTCTGGGAAGCACTAATTCCCCCAGAGGCCATCCTGATGCAGTATCTAGCAGTGTTGTGTGTATCCAGTCAGTTAACTTACATATGGACATGTTTAAACTGGTGCTCATTGACTCTCAGTTCTGAGTATATAGCAGCCTGAGTACCCCAAAACCCTTTACTACAACTTTAGAAATATGTTGGCTAAAGAAAATAATCCTTTTAGATTATTTTCAATATATTGTTAGACTCACAAGAAAGAAAAATGATCAGGTGTCAGAAACTAAAAGGAAATAATCATCAGAGCAGCTGATTTTAAAAATGACCCTGAATCTGCTGCCACAAGGGTGGTGATAGCTGTGTGGTAGTTGTTCTTGGTAACCAGACTCTTAGGAAGTAGGAAGCTCACCCAAGGATGGGAGAGGAGGCCAAGCACCCACTGAATGTGGGGAGAAAGACCTGAGGCCCCACATGAAGTTTGGGTTTTTAAAAAATGGCACATTTGTAAACAGTGGACTAGGAAAATTTCATTCCATTAGTGTAGGAACAAAGAATTGATTCTCTCTCAGTGCTGGTGCAGGAGTCCTACATTGAAAAACAAAGTAAAATGAAAAAGGACTCACTAAATGCAGTAAAGTACTGGGTATTAAAAACATAACATCATAAATCAACTGGAAACAGTAGGAAAAACTGTAAGTCAATGATAGTATTTAAGACCATTATTAAGCAGTATGAGCACTACAACTAATTGTTGAGCTGGAAATATTTTTTATTTGGCTTTCTGGCATATATTTAGAGTGGTTCATGGTCATTTCCATACCTAAACAATAACTTACTTTGCTAGCACTGGAATAGCCTCAAAGAATGTTTCTAGTACTCAGTATACTGACTTGTGGCTTCATGGCAAAAGGTGCAGGGCCAGAGGGAGCACAGGGGTACAAGGACATCCTGTGTCACATGTCCCAGGAGTATATGGGCAGAGAGAGAGAAACAATGTTTGAAACAGATGAAGCCAGAAATAAGTATGTGTAAAATTCCTCCAGGGATCACCTGTGTCAAATCGTAAACAGAAGGTTCAGACCCCATTAAACCAATACAGGCATTCCCTCTTAACAGGAATATACTCAATCACATAGTGTATAAACATACCAGAGCTTTTCCTCCTTTGTGGTTGAGAATCAATGTGAAATAGAACTTATTAGCATATAGCTGTTTATAGAGCACAAACTAGTAACAGTAATACAGAAGCGAGTGTATCTTTAGGTAGAGTAGCATGCTTTATGCACCCCTGCATACAGGTTGCATCCTACCACATTTGATGCATTTCATTCTGATGAAGTCTGAAGTTAAGTTCCACTAATACAAGACCCTTTACTGTGTCAGAAGTGTTTCAGAGACAAAATCCCTACTCACATGTATCAATAAGTCAAGGTATGTTGGATTAGAGGAATCTGATTACACAAGTGTGTTTACCCCAAAATTGTGGAGCAGCAACTTCAAAATGCATGTGACCTGCCTTTGAGTGCATGATCACTTCTGATTAACTTTGTTTTTATGTCAGTCATGGTTTAATCAGTGAAGTAGAAGCATGAAGCATATATACAATATGAAATTTGTGAGAGGAATTAGAACTTGCATAATTGTTGGAGAGGCTGGTGATATACGGGTCCAAAAATGAAAATTATGAGAGAGAAAATATGAGTCATGGTACAGGTGAACAAATCTGAAAATGAAGCACAGAGAGCTGCTATGGTGGGACGGTGGAGAACAGTACCAGTAGCGGTCCATGGAAGGCTGTTGGCTCTTTGTGACTATTGCTGCTTTAAGTTCACAGTGAAGTGTCAGATAGTGGGCTTGGGTGGGTCATTAGGGCCCACAATGTTAAAGAGAGCTGGTTTTGGAACAGGGAAGAGTAAGGACAAACTGGAACCTGCCTGCACCTCTATGTCTGTCTTTCACAGACTCTACCCAATGGCAGCCTCGGGGGATAATGACTGATACTTCATTTTTGCCTCCCATATTTTGCCAGCCTTCACTTGTGGACATGTCTACTCTTGAACCACACAAAGAAGGAAATTCTGGGGAACGTTGTTCTTGGTGTAAATGAGTTGACAATAAAAGCATCCAAAAAACTGTATATGTTCTTCCTGAATTTTTGACAGGAACAAAATTTATATATTGAAGAAAAAGAAGTATCCTAGCAGAAACCCAAAAAGGTAGAAAATTGAAATATCCAAAAATCTTTTATTATGGCACAAGAGAAACTAGAATTCTGATGGTAGAAATAGTAAAGTTAAGAAAGAGAGTTACAGTTGTTAATCAAATATAGATGAGAAAATGACAACAGAAGGAATAAAGATTTTTAAAAATTAGAACACTCCAAAACAGTACACCGAAAAATGAAGGAAAAGAAATAAAGAAAAGTACAATTTTTACAAATAAGAGAGAATGCAAAAATTTGCAGCAGTTTCATTCTAATGAATTATTTGATTTCCTTTAGTTTTAAAACCTGTAATAATGTTTTAATAATTAGGAAGAGAAATAATTTTATTCAAAACTGAGGCAAGACAATTTAGTTTTCATAATACAAAAATCATAATATGACCCTCTAGATTGGGTATTAAGGTAAAAACTAGTTAGTGAATATTGTTGATTAAAAACATATCTAAGATTAGTAATTAAACAAGAAAAATGTAAATGTACAAGACCTCATGTCTTGTATATGAAAGAAAATGATAGATATTTCCCCAAATTTTACAACGATCTTAGCATCAAATTACATTACCTAGTACAAGTTGTAAAGCTGGAAGTAATTATGCTAAATTTTTATGATAAAAAGTGTTTAGTTCTGCCATTAAAAGATTTAATTATTTTAATATTTTTATCATTTAAAAAACTGCTGTGAGACGAATAGCTGATGAAGCAATGAACAGCCAGAGGAAGGGTATAGCTCAAATGGTAGAATGCATGTTTAGCATGCACGAGGTCCTGGGTTCAATCCCCAGTACCTGCATAACAACAACTAACAAGAAATAAACTGCCAAAAGTACAAGAATAAAAGTATTAGAGCTGTATTAGGCAGCTAAGTAATAAAGCATATTTTTGTTCTTGTGTCTTGTGATGTGTATGGTAGTTGCCACATTTTAAAAAGTATAACTTGCTATCATTTCCTTTTGCATGACCAGTAAATGTTAACTTTCATACCTTTTGCCTAAGTAATTCTACCTTTCTATGCTTTTTGCAGTGTCTGTCCCCAACCCACAGACTTTCATAGAATTTGGACATAGTTACCTTTTCTTTGAAAAATGTATGCAAGATTTGTGGAGATCTATTTTACTCAGGTCTGAGTCATGTTAATCTTAGGAGCAGATATTTAGGGATACAGAGGGTGTTCTGCT